TCAAAAGCGTCTGACCTTTGACCCTTCACATAAAAAATATATCAGGTTTAAGCTTCACCAACTTTACAAGACAACACACAAATATGACGATAAAGATGCTCACAAAATTTCATGAGTCTTTATATGACCAATCTCGAAATATGTACAAAAATGTGCTCGAAATGTGTCGTTTTGGTGTACTTCAATGTCAGATAGCTCAATATCGGATTGCTTTATTGCTCCAACATTTTATCGAATTGGCTGACCTACATCATATCGTACCAATTACGTGTCAATGCAGTTCATATACTTTCAGTATCAGTTTTTCAACCAGAACCAACAAGTACAAAACATTTACAATGAAATTGAATTATGAACACTGTTTACCAGGAATCGGAAGAATCTTTTGCTCACCATCGAGGAAGAAAAAACATTTTTAGCTGGAACCCGGATTTATTTATTCCAAGCGTCGTGGGAAGTACTTTTAACACATCAAAATACTTTTTCCCAAAGAAAAAAGTCGGGAGATAAGATGGAACAAGAGATATTCCAATCACTCCAACTAAGGGACTGCAGATAAGGATTAAAAATACTGTAAACCTTGAAAACACTGGAAGAAATATCTGAAGACGTGGCCCAATCAGGAAACCGTAGGTCTGTTTGGGTCATACTAAGGTGACCCAGGGAACGGGCAGGGAGCATTAATCTGGGTCAGCATTAAAAAGTGTTTGGATCATCGGGTCAGGGAGTGAATTTATAGGAGTCAGTGAGTCAGTATGGTCCAGTCCTGCCTCGTTACGCCTTTAACAGGTTGACCGCCACGGTCACATTGGCTTGGTGATTTTCCTACGCCAAGGTCATTTTGGTATCCCTTAACAACATACTTTGATCATCCCATGCTATTTGCAATTTTAAGTGATCTTTTGCAGATTTTTTAGCGAGGCGTACCAGTGTGCCTCATGGCCTGTGGAATACAATTAGGTTTATCACTCCACGAGGGCCGCCGGTGCACCTCACAAGTTTTTACAAGCCTTGGGGCCATTCTCTAATTTTACCGAGCTTTGAATTAAATTTCGCGCTCGCGCGCGCGGCGCCTCGTGAACAGTCGTCCAGGGCTTCTCATGACGGAAGTCACGTGAGGCAACAATGGAAATTGTCTCAAATCCGTTATAATTGACATAGATAGTTGTAGGGTGGTACTGATAAGCTTCAAGCCTTTGAGAGACGATAAATAATAATTCAATGCTAGCAATCTCAGGTTTTCTCGGTATCGTCTTATCGAAATATCAAATTTCCAAGATATATGACGTTTTTACCACTTTCTTTGATAGCGTCGAATGCGCGAGATAGCAATATATAAAGTAGTTGCTATAATGTCGTAGGTATATCGTAAGTATTAATAAAAGGTAGGTAGTTACAAATAGCTAAGAATATAATCAGCTTCCCAGGTCTAGTTCTTCCTCCAAACTAAAGAAAGAGGAAAACCATGCTCAGCATAACTATTTCTCCGAAATCAGAGGATTCACGGCCGAGTACGGATCGATCCAAAGGGGCTGCGGCGACGGCCTGGAGTTCGGCGAAGCTTGCTACTTCTTCATAGACGAGCCGACGACGGCGACGGATGCCCAACGCGAGTGCGAGGCCATCGAGGCCAACCTCACCAGCATCCACAGCGACGCGGAGAACTTCTTCATCGGTCTGTTGAAATCACGGGCTTTCGAATGGCAGCCGGGGTTCTGCGAAAGTATCTTTCGAAGTCGGCTGACCGCTGTTAAACGTTGAGAAGAGCATTTAATGATTGAATATAAAAAAAACTAGATACCCTCTCGTCCAGGAAATGAAATTCTAGGAACGATGAGAAATGTTGCACCAGTTAAAGAACTCAAATAAATTCTTTATGAAATAAATAACTCACCTCTTGGCAGATGATTCCCTTGACCTTACAAATTTCTTAATTCATTTTATTTTTTTTTGTACTGCTTTGCATTTCCATCATGTCATATCGTTATTTGTTCTATAGAAGTTCTCTTTTAGGTCGAATTTTTAAAGGGATTGTTCGAAAACTTGCTGATTGCTTTTATTCTGTGCTTTTTTCGATTCGTTATTTACGTGCAAGCAATTTTCTTGAGAAAAAAAAAAGCTTCCTTCTGATAACTGACAATATAATGGAAGGATGACAAAATCGGAAAAAATAAGTAAATAACCGAAATCGGGAGTCAGCAAAAGGTTTGAATGACAACCATTCAACAGTCCAAAACTTGGGTTTAAACGGCCTTGTGAAACCTTGTCGAACCCCGTAAAAAGTTGCCATTGCTGTTACCAATAAAATTGGAGCAACTGAAGTCGAAGTGGCCGTTTATCGCCATCAAAGCTGCAGGGAATGATGTTTCGTTTGTCTTCGCGAGCTCTGATTCTTTCCCAAAGTTGTCAGGAACACCTGGTTTAAGGAGAAGAAAAAGTTTTACATGGCATCGTGATAGGGTGGTTTGGAGAGAGAAAATTGCAAACGTTAATGTGAAATTGATATGGGGGGATCAGAATTCGTTGGTGGCCGTTCTCTTAGTATTTTCAGCTAAGGTTGTTCATGCTAATCATGGTTTTAACCATATACTTGTAGTTTCGAGTACATACCAAGTAATATCCACTATAAATGGGCAAAGGAGGAATTACAGCATGGCGGTTTCAAATGTTCAATTGAACTGTCCATATCAGTAAATGATATTTTACAAGAAAATGTATCTTCAATATGTGGTACCGGTACTACCATGAAAAATGGTCTCGAACTGAAAAGCAATGGGAATCCAATTCAAATGCGCATCGACTTTCGAAATTGAGTTAAATTGCTTTGATGGTTGTTGGCCCACCAACACTTTTTTCTTCCGGTACTGGTTTGAATCAGCCATGACATTTTCTCTAATTAGGTACAAATGCTCCATCAGCGCCTCTGTGGATCGGTCTCCGAAGAATAGGCGTGGATTGGGAATGGACAGACGGAAGCCCCTACGACTACGATAACTTCAACCCCGAATTCCTCCGAGGAGATGATTACGTTTACATGTGGGTGGATCAGTGGGCGAACGACAACTGCAGCAGCGTGAGACCCTTCCTCTGCCGCTTTCGCAGCGAGGACGGGGACTGCCCGAATCCTTGGATCGAAGAAGACTTCAATTGCTACCTCCTCGTGGACACGAGTCTCGTGTTCCAGTCGGCCGTCGAGTATTGCAAGGGGACGGACCACGCTTTTCACACTCGACGAGGACATGGGTCCACGCTTTTCACACTCGACGAGGACATGGACTATAACGATGTCGTCGCTAATATCCTCAACAAGGAGGGCAGAATGAATATCGTGGAGTTCTGGATCGGTCTTCAGAGAGATGACACGCTCGCTTGGAATTGGATCGACAACTCGACGTCCAGTGTTGAAAACTGGTCGGGAGGTTTTCCCGAAGACGATCCGGATAAAGATTGCGGCTATGCCTTCCCTAATACCTGGGACGATTATCCCAATAATCATCGCTTTTCTTTTGCTTGCAAGAAACCTCTACTTTTGCCGTAATCAAGGTCGGGATGTGTGTTCGATGTCTACATTTGTTTCTTAGGGCATGATCTGTTTTATTTTCTGAGCTTCAGCAATAATATATGAGAAGCTAAACGCACTTGCTTCTTCATTCGCTTGCCAGTATCTATGTTTCCACCCGTGATTTAGCTTCACGCTGGGAACTTGCCACGTTTCTGATTTCATGCGATTTTTTTTTTCAAATTCTGTCTGGAAATAAGGAAATCCAAACATTGCGGAGCGTCACTGTCTGTTGCAATTTGAGAGAACCGGTCAAACGTTTTCCAGTGTGCCATCGATGTCTTACAGTTTACCTATTCACGAACCAGAACTATCAGATTTGTGGTTCACTAATTAGAAAGGCAGCATTTACTTTGACATTTTCTGTTGGCCATTCATCGTGCTGACCATAGTTTACTACTGGAAATCTGCAGCTGACATGAAAATAAGCCAATGATAAGCCATCTATTGCAGAGCATGGAGTGAACATCCCTAAACAAAAAATTCTGTGAAATTACATATCGTAAGCTTTTCGAGGTGATGGGCATGCTTTATTTTGCTCAAATTTATACTTTCATTTAAAAATGTAATTGATATTTTTACCTAATCTGCAAGACTGTGTTGATTAACTTCCCACTTTCTTTACACCTTCTTGTGGGTGAGAAGTCGACCCTAATACAGCGAATTCTATCCTTTCACAATGGCCCATTGGTAAGGCATTACCTCCTTCCTAAGATTAAAACCCAAGGTTTTCCATTACAAATACCGTCCCTTACGGAAATGTCCAATAGGAAACCTATTTACTTTCCTATAGGTTTTTGAAACACAAAAAAAACTATAGTATCCTATAGGATCCCTATATGGTCTTATAGAACTCCTGACCTATAGGATTCGGGGATAATTTTTTGGGTTTCGAAACCCAAGCATAATGAAGGAAAAAGCGACCGGGAGCAATATCGGCGCAGCACTTTGGTGTAAATCAATTATCGATTAGGAGTTTTCCCATGGTAGGGGCACTTGCATTACTAATACCAGTACTGCCCATATCTGCATAATTTATTGCCCGGGCCTACATATGTCGCTGGATTGCGCATCCACCTCCTTCGGCAGAGAAAATTATCGCGAACTTTAGAAACTGAAGACAGAACCTGGGAGCACGTCTCTTGATTGAAAATCCTTCCTGATAAGGTGTAATTTTTTTTATAAAGTTAGGAGCCAAAGGTGTGGCGGACCGAGACATGAAACTCGCCCACCATGGTGAGAACCTCCCTACATGAGAGCTGGCAAAGAACAAGACCCCTCATGAAACTAATAAGAAAGTGAGAAGTTGACACAGGGATAATGTACTTACTCTCGTGCGTTTCAAAAGGTATATGGGCATATTTCTTGCCTGGACTCCATGATTCTATCTAGAATATGGGGATGACAAATAAGGAAGTGTCGATGTTTATTGATTGCTACAATGAGGCAAGGCGAGACATTTGGGGATGTACAAAACTCTCTTGTGAGAGATGATTCCATGGGTAAGGGGAGGGCACTTTTGTGTCCTTTGAGAAATGCGACAACCCAATACCTCCATCTAGTGGCCTAGAGGAGAACTTCAAACGGAACCCTACAGTCCTAAAGGGTTCCGTATAGACCCTATAGGGAACCCTATAGGTTCTAAAGGGAACCATATAGGTCCCAAACCGAACTCTATGGGGCCTATAGGAACCTATAGGATTCCTATATGTTCCTAAAGGAATATATAGGAATCCTAAAAGGGATTTTCGTAAGGGGTAGGTCTTGAGTTACGCTCTGAAGTGAATCGACGTGGAGCCAAGCAACTGGATCCAACTCACTTTCATCAATTTCGAACTTGACTTGGACACGATCATCGGTGATTGGTGTCCTATATTTGAACGTACTGATAGTATTGAAAAAATATAATTAATATATTTTCAAAGGAGATCATTTCTACATGGGATTACTAGTCCCTGAGACCAGACGAAGACTTCATGGTCATGCTACCGTATACTACGCCAATTTGTCCTCATGCTTTTACACTATAAGACTGCTGCCTTATGTACCCACGAACAGTTTTATGAAGCCACATATCATTGCTTCACGTTTGCTTATTATGACCAAAATGCCATCGCTCGCGGGCTTCAATTATGTGTGCAAATGTCTTTCGAAAGAATAATCCCTCGTTGGAGCGAATACCATAGACGCGAAATACTACGCAATACAAGAGAAAAGAAACATTAATAGGAAAATAGAAACTTAGGAATTTGGCTGCATATGGTGATCGTTCTAAATGATTTCCAGAGAAGGAAATCTTGAAATTTGTATATTCCATCTCGGAATGGAGAAAACTTAGTGTCAAAAATCATTTTTCAATAGCGTCTGCCCTTTCTCCATGAGTCAGCCCTTGGCCTACCTTTTTCGTATGAAAGAATCTCGACCCTCGGGCCAATCTTGGAGTCTTCGAGACGACCGGGAGAGGACGTGTCACGTGAGGCCAATCTGGGTTTTTTTTTCCGAACCATCTCGACCACGTCTGAGGAGAGAATGCCTCCGGAATCGCAGTGCCTGCTGGGCGCCATCCTGTTAATTCAGGGATGTCCGTGCACGATATCCCCACACCTCTCCACAATGACGGATCGCTGCTAACCACCGTTTCAATCTCAGCTCATCTCGTGAACTCAGCAAACGTAAGTCTTCGTTCTCTTACCCAGAAGAGTTGTGGCAAATGGAAATTTAGGGAAATCTATATTTTCCTGCACCTTGCCCATCGTGATATTTTGTTCAAGCGATCTTTTTTATATATACACAGTTTTGAGCTAAAATCGGGGAAATGTGAAGGATTGGCAAAATAGACTTAAAAAGTCAGTAACTACCTTCACGGTATTACACGCGGAAAATAAAAATAAACCTTTATTTTCAAATATCTCCTCCATTTTCGATTTGCCGGAAATTACCGCTCGGATGAGTTCGGAGTAGACACAAAAATGGCAAGAACGTTCCTTCGATTCAGGTATCAGACAAATATAATTTCAAAAACGCGCGCCAAATTTCTAAATAGCGCTGAAAATACAGTATTCGACCTTTGGGCACCTTTCCTGGTAACACATTATCCAGGAAAGTAATTGTCTAATTTGGGGGAATTAGGTGATAATGCTCCCTCGTCTCTGCTGAGGATCAGGCTTCAAAGTCGAGTTTTGACTTGGGGATGGACGGACCGAAGCCCCTACGAGTACGACAACTTCAACGCAAATGTCCTCTTCGAAGACGGATTTGTTCACGCGTGGAGTTCGACGAAGGGTGGTCAAGCCTCGAACGATCCTCCCGGCTCGTATGAGCTTCCTTTTGTCCGCGGAGGAGGAAATTTGCGGCAGAGGATGGAGATCGGAGTGTCGAGGCAATGGCCTCGTCCGATGCTTCGTTGGAAGGCGGGAATACGGACGAGAAGAGGAGCGATTCGTGGCTTCATCATTTTTCGATGCTTGCAGCCTACTGCACCCTTAAATGGTTCTTTCAGTCGAATTAAATGTCTGACAGTTACGTTGAACGCTGAGTCAATCGTCTTTCATCCGTCCCAGCTGTTATACACTTCACTCTAGATTGTAATTTCGTCTTCTCGCTATTCCATTCCGAACTTTAACGATAACGTCATGAAAACGTCATTACGGAGCGGAACTTTATTCAAGATGTGACGTTACATCGGAACGGAACCGTTCTGAATCTCCGGACTTCCTATAATTAATGGACCTTGCATTTCGGAACCGACTGAAGGAATTTGGAATCAGTACCAGTTACTCCTGGGAATTTCTCAGACTATGGCTACGTGATTTTCCCATTATGTGTTTCCACAGTTTCCCTCGTGAGTACTAGCACTTGTGGCAAGAAACATTGCCCAACACAAGCACTAAAATAGAAGGCCAATCAGGAATGGGCAGCAGCGGATAACGTTCCCAATCGAGGGGGGGGACACGGTATTTTCACTTCAAGGAAAAAAAAAATTCTGTATCACCAGATGACATCTTTCCTATATCTCCCCTCGAGCATCTCGTTGGGGTCCGGGAGGAAAGAAGGAGGATGGCAGCCCAAACGTACATTGTCAGCCTGTTGCTACTGGTCTGCTCGCAGTGGTCATCGGTGGATGGCCAGTGTGGCGGGAACTTCACGGAGCCCACGGGAAACATCTCTTCACCCAATTACCCTGATGAGTATCCCAACAACGCCTTCTGTGTGTATGAAATCAACGTGGAACCAGACAACGGGATCGAACTCACTTTCGTCGATTTCCAACTCGAGGGATGCCCATCGGATACTGTAGAGGTTTTTCATCCTTCCTCGGGTTTAACGGAGATTTTCTGCAGGGGGTCCCATCCCACCTGCCCGATTCTCGAGCTATCCAATTCTCTCGTCGTCACATTTCAGTCGGACGACTCCATCACGTACAGGTGAGAGACCCATACCTACCAATCACCTAGCGGTATTTTCATCAACAATGTTACTACATGTCTCCCGGTCGTGTTCGACGCGGAAAATACTCGTCGAACGTGAACCTAGCCCATCCTCATGATCATTTCTCCGAATTCAGAGGATTCCTTGCCGAGTACCTGTCCTTCCCGCAGTCATGCGATATAAGTGCAGGCTGGCTATTTCACGGCGGACAGTGCTACTTCTACGTCGACGAGCCGAAGACTGCTCTCGAGGCCCAGCAGGACTGCCAGGGAATCGAGGGGAACCTCGTCAGCATTCACAACGACGAGGAAAACGCATTCATCGGTTTGTCAGGAAATTATCACAATGACTCAGTGAATTTGGGTTAAAATTTCAGATGAAATCGGTGGCCATTTTCAAACTATTTGGTCGCCTATATTCAGATCTCTTGGGGGGAAAAAAAAATCCATTAACTAACTTCATGTTATTCAGAACAGTAACGTTTAGCCATTGTTAACCTGTTTTCTGAAATTCATTAAAAGTTTTCGAAATTTTCGCTGTCCCTCATGAAACGAGAATCATCCAACTCCTTTTTATTTTTCATGTCTTCTTTTAATTAACTTGTAAAAACTAAATTGAAAACCTGTTGCAAGTATACCATTTCTAAAAAAAATTGGGATGGGAAAATTTTACCGTTTTGCAGGAGTATGAAAATAGTGTCATTTATGGTGAGATATATGTTTCTGGTGTGCTGGCATGTATCATATTGTAAAAAACACTCCAACATGAACAGAAAATTAATGAGAATGTTTCACTGATCCAGATGGATGACTGGATGAAATTTAAGCAGAAAGCAAATTAGCCATCTATAAGAAATTTGCCAATGCTGTGGTGACCATCTGCCCCTCCCCCGATTTTATCGTCTCCAAAAAAAAAAATTAATATTCATCTTTTCTTGCGACTAAGGTGGCATCGCTCGAAACGCTCCGCTGTGGCTCGGGCTCCAGAGACAGGGCTCGACTTGGGAATGGCTGGACGGAACCCCCTTCGACTACGACAACGTCAACCCGAATTTCCTCTTCGATGATGAGTATGCGATCATGTGGAAGGATGAATGGGGCAACGACGATTGCGGCGAATCCAAGCCCTTCGTCTGCCGTCTTCGGGCGGACGAATGCCCGGATTCGACCTGGCGCCAGGAGGGTCTCGATTGTTTCCTCGTCGTCAGGGATTCCCTCCCGTTCGCTTCCGCCGTTTCGTATTGCGAAAACACAAGCCCGCCATCGACGCTTTTGACGGTGCCGGACGACGCGAATTACCAATACCTCGTTGCTTTCGTTCTCAACGGCTTGGAGCCAGACGACGACACGGATTTCTGGATCGGGATCGAGAGGCAAGGATCGACCTGGAGCTGGATCGACGACACCGCGTCCGAATTGGCCAACTGGGCTCCGGGTTACCCTCTTGAGGATTCTGGAAAGGATTGCGCCACCATCACCCTCAGTTCTTGGGACGATTTCCCCGGCTATTTTGCCTTCCCCTTTGTTTGCAAGAAAGTCCTTTCACGGCGACCTAATTGAAATCGGGACGGGATAACCCAGAAACCAAAACGTTTGTTCTATGCCCGATTGTGAAACATCAATAAACATGG